TCACTTACTTTAGCTCTTTAGATGGTAGACTTGTACACAAAGGGCCCTATCTCTTCTTTCTTGTCATTTCTATATTTTGCTAAAAAACTGAATGCACTAGTCTTTGGAACATTTTTTTTTTTATTGTATTATCTTCACTACCCTATTTCTTATCTGTTACTTTGTACAGCACCACTGTAGATAAAGGTGTGCTGTATAAATCATACCCCAAAATGATCCCAGATGTTGCAAGCAGCACTACCTTGCCACAAAATGTCCCCTTTATCTACCCAAACATTTCTTCAGGTTTTCTATTGAGCCAAGTCCTGGGGCTAGATGATTTAATATTAATAAGCTTACGTCCATGAGATAGTGACTGCTTATACCTGGACAAAACATGACCCTTTATTATTTGTGGGATTCCATTACAATATCCATATTAGTAAACAAAACATTTTCTTTTGTATAGCTTACCAAAACAAAACTTATTTTCAGGGGTAATAAAGCTGGTAATACCTCTTCCTCTTCCAACTGGGCCATGCATAAGACTACTGTTTGGAGGATTTCTGATTCAGTTTTGTGATTGTTGAAAGCTTACAGTTCATTTAACAAAGAACTGAAGAATATCATAAACTTCAATTAACCTGTGCTTGACCACTAGGGCTGAAGAATCCTTGAGATGTTCACATCACTGTACAGTAGATAATCTAGGGGTCTCTCCTAGCCGATAAACTCCAGGACATCTCTCCAAGTTATGCCAGGACTTAAATTGAAAAATGGCACTTTATCTCAAAATCCCGACTCTAAACTGCCAGAATTCGATTACTGTTATAGTACAATGTATCAGGAACTGTGTTCCATCTCTAGAGCACATATGGATAAATTATTTCCGAATCTTGATATCTCTATGCTAGACCAACGTATTTGACTAATGAAAAAACATTTTCCAGTTAAAGAAAAAAGTGATTGTGATTAGGGGTGTAATCTCCCTGGCAGTTTTAAGGCATGGTACACCCACTTGGTCTGGCTCATTTTCGTAGTAGTGTAAGTACACTAAAAAAGCCCAGGTTCAGTTAAGTGCACCGTGTCCAGGATGGCTTGGAAGTAGTGGTCTGGGGCTTCGTTCACTTGGAGTCCAGTCCAGTTCACTTCAGTTTGAGTGCAAACCATGCCTGAGCACAGAACTGCCCAAAAATCGCTGCCCTCCAAAGCAGGGATCACTGTGGTCTGGCTGGCAGAGGTAATGACATAAGCATGCCCAGGAACACATCCTTTATAACATAGTATGAGTGCAGACCAACGAGACAATCAAACTTGGGCAAGGTTTATTTCAACTGTACCCAGTGTGAGTACAACCTAACACTCTTAAACTTAATAACCAGGCCCTGATGGTTTTCTGAAAGGCAACTATGAACATTTTTCTTTGGCCCCCTCATCCCCCTTTTTTTTTTTTTTTTTTTTTTTTTTTTAAGCTAATTGTGGAAAAAGTAACTATTTTTCACTAGATGACTAAATACTAACTTCATTAAGAACTAAAAATTTGGATGAAAAATCTTGCATTGAGACTAAACTTCTTTATTCAATTGGGACCTCCATACACTTAGACAAGCAATGTTCCTTGCAAAAGACTTTTGACGGTGTTTTTTTTTCTTTGGAGTTTTTGGCACTCTCCCTATTTTGGATACTTCAGGCCTTCTATGCTGCTCTTATGGCTCCATGAATGGTTACAAATCCCCAGTTGTAGACAATCAGAGCTGATTTACACATGTGTGGTGCGGATTGAAGCTCAGGTTTCACAGCTAATGATACAGTAGTTGTTCAGCGGTTCATGTCAGCTTTACATCAGGTTTAGGACAGGATTAGGTTAGGATTTCATCCTGTTCACACTAATACAGTTTAGAAATGGTTACCATAGAAGTCAGTGGCCTGTAATCCACACCTGAAGGCACTGCTCAGAAATTGTACGCGACTCTTTTCCATACCGCACTGAATCCGCACTGCCAGTGCTCCGGACATATGTGAACAAGCACCATAGGAAGCAATGCTATTTCACATGTCATGTGGATTGGATGTGGTTCAAACTGCATCCAATCTGCATATATGTGAACCAACACTCAGAGAAACACCTGACAAGGATGCTCCTTGTCACCATTGCTATTTAAACTAGTGTTGGAACTCCGTGCATAGCTTTGTTCCAACCCTGACATCAAGGCCATAAAGTGTGGCCAGGAATACTGCTTCAAGTAAATTTTTGGGCTGCTAAATCTTTCCCGTTTAGGGATTCAATTATCCCTGTCCTCTATTCCAACAAATATATCCTACTCTTTTAGGCAGATATCTGTAGTCCTGGATAAATAGATGGTCAGTATCGTCTACCTTTGTGGTTTGGGAGAATATATTCAATTATAATTGTTATCCTGTCCAGAATATTATATTATTTTTTTAGGACTGTTCCCATACCAAACTCTAGAACGGAACAAAATAATCTGCTTTGTATGGGTTAATAAGAGGCATATTACCAAATATTAAATGTTTCAGTGGTTTAGGAGTACCTATCTGTTCACATATGATAGGCAGCGCAACTAGCTCAAAGTCCAACAAGGGGCTCATACCCTCAGTGAGTTTACATGGAAGCTCTTTCCTGCTTCTCAGTATCAGTAGATAAGCTAATGTGGATTTCAAACAGGTTGCATCAAACATTATCTTACATTCTGTTAGTATGGGACAGAGAGCTAGAAAAGCATTAGGCTTAGTGCACACTCCTCTGGCACCTAACATGGGTAACCTTGAGTATCAGCCCCACCACAATCCACTTTTTTTATTTTTTATTTTTTTATCCACAGGCTGGACCATTAACAAAAAAAAAATGATATATATATATTATAATATAGCTTCCTTAATAATTAATAAACCTACACTCCCTAACTGCACCATTACTGTGTCACTATTGGAGAAAACTTGCAATTCCAGAGGTCCTCTTGAAAGCATATCTCTACTATATACAACTTGCCGTGCCTATTTAAAAGCTCTCATATACACTATATTGCCAAAAGTATTGGGGCACCCCTCCAAATCATTGGATTCAGGTGTTCCATTTACCTCCATGGCCACAGTTGTATAAAATCAAGCACCTAGGCATACAGACTGCTTCTACAAACATTTTTGAAAGAATGGGTTGCTGTCAGGAGTTCAGTGAATTTTAGTGTGGTACTGTGATAGGTTGCCACCTGTGCAATAAGTCCATCTGTGAAATTTCCTTGCTACTAAATATTCCACGGTCAACTGTTAGTGGTATTATAACAAAGTGGAAGCAACTGGGAACAACAGCAACTCAGCCACGAAGTGGTCGGCCATGTAAAATGACAGAGTGGGGTCAGTGCATGTTGAAGCGCAGAAGTCGCCAACTGTCTGCAGAGTCAATAGCTAAAGACCTCCAAACTTCGTGTGGCCTTCATATTAGCACAACAACAGTGCATAGAGAGCTTCGCAGAATGGGTTTCCATAGCCAAGCAGCTGCTTCCAAGCCTTACATCACCAAGTGCAATGCAAAACGTCGGATGCAGTGGTGTAAAGCACACTGCCACTGGACTCTAGAGCAGTGGAGACGTGTTATCTGGAGTGACGAATCATGCTTCACTGTCTGGCAGTCTGATGGACATGTCTAGGTTTGGCGGATGCCAGGAGAACGGTACTTGCCTGACTGCATTGTACCAAGTGTAAAGTTTGGTGGGGGGATTATGGTGTGGGGTTGTTTTTCAGGGGTTGGGCTTGGCCCCTTAGTGCTAGTGAAGGAAACTCTTAAGGCATCAGCATACCAAGATATTTTCCACAATTTCATGCTCCAAACTTTGTGGCAACAGTTTGGGGATGGCCCCTTCCAGTTCCAACATGACTGCACACAAAACAAGGTCCATAAAGACATGGATGAGTTGAGTTTGGGGTGGAGGAACTTGACTGACCTGCACAGAGTCCTGACGTCAATCTGGCAGAACACCTTTGGGATGAATTAGAGTGGAGACTGCGAGCCAGGCCTTCTTGTCCAACATCAGTGTCTGACCTCACAAATGTGCTTCTGGAAGAATGATCAAGCATTCCCATAGACACACTCCTAAACCTTGTGGATAGCCATCCCACAAGAGCTGAAGCTGTTATAGCTGCAAAGGATGGGCCAACTCAATATTGAACCCTACAGACGAAGACTGGGATGCCATTAAAGTTCATGTGCGTGTAAAGGCAGACGGCCCAATACTTTTGGCAATATAGTGTATGCTTCAATGGAACCAAGAGCTCCAATAAACTGTGGCTACTTAGGACTGGTAAGAAGTTGAAATAGCCTGTCACAAGTATCCATTAACAACCTCTCAAAGACAATCTAGTCATAAAACACTGATGTGGTATATAGTCTGCACTAGAATAGCTAAGCTACATCCTCAAATCTCACCTATATGTTAAAAAGACTGTTGCCATCTGGACACCATATTTCATGTATTATGGATTAGAATTTTCAACTTGATATATTCCATTGCAACAATTTACAGCTTGATATAGTCTCATGTTAACCTATGTAAATTACCTGAAACTGCCTTATTTGTGGGATCTGTGGATTCCTCTTTCCTTTCTTCTATTTCATTAGAGGTTGGAATGGCATGCCAGTCAGTCAGTTCCCTGAATTTAGATAAACATGGAAGGGTTTTTTTTTCTTTTTTTTGTGCCGTATACGAAATGAAGTTGGTGATGTTTTTTTAGAATTGTGAAGAATTTGCATGAAATAAGAATTGAATATGCAAGAAAGTTTGCTTTTTATTGCTAAACTGTTGCCATGTCCATTTCATATGGTTGTAATTCTCATATGCAAAAACTATTGAACTATTGAACGGATCAAAAAATAAACTCTTATCTCCAGATACCAGTTACTTGAAAAAGCCTATTGAAAATTGTTTTTTTTTTTCCTGTACAGAGTAGGGAATGTGTGAAGGTTCTGTGGCATTTTGCTGCCTGATAATCTGTTTCCATATCTGATTGTTCTTCTAGCATGTTCCACCCTGGCAGTTGCCCAGTTGGATTCAGTGATCATTGCACCACCCCCTCTGGAAGATGGAGTCATTCTTACCTTGGAGCATTTACAGCCTTACTGGAGAGAGCTGGAAAGTCTTGTGGAAGACAATAAAGTTGTTGCTATAGGAACATCGGATTTAGATAAACCACTCTTGGAACAGCTTTACCTCTGGGCACAGGTGAGGCTCAGCACCCACTGGTAGTCATAGCAGTGAAAAAAAAACATGTCACATGCTTTATAAAATTTTGATGGCATTAAAGAAGCAGCAGCCTACTAAAACCCTTTCACACTTGCAGCAATGTGTTTTCCAGGACGTTTGCTGTTTATGCCCTGTTCAGTTTTTCATGCACTTTTCAAAAGTCTCACTATAGGACCGGAATATTTAGATATGTCTGGTGTGCCGTTGAAAAATCAGATCTCTCCAATGGGTCACATTCTACATAAAAAAACTTATTTGAAAAATACATTGTATATGTTAAAAAAAATATATATTTTTTGTTTACCTAATTGTCTACCCAGTAACTGTCCTTAACCGTACTTTTTTTTTCCCGCCTGCCTGCAATGTATTGTGGCCAGGCGGTAGCTACGGGCAAAGCGATGTACCTGTACGTCCAGCGGAATGTCTGGTGAATGGGACCCGGTGATCATGTGATCGCTATGCGATCACATGATCACATTGTAAGCACAGCTGTTATGAATCAGTCTCATTCATAACAGCTCTGCTCCTCTTCCTAGTGAGCTGTGATTGGCCCACAGCTGTCACATGATACATGGGGCCAATCACAGCACCCTGTACCTTGTGACCAGCTCCAGCCAATCACAGATCACTATCTTGAGCTGTCAAAAACCTAACTCATTCATGACATGAAAATGATCTTTATTTCTCCTGCAAAGCAAAGTGTAAAAAATAAATAAATCCCTGATCACCCCCCCCCCCCCCCCCCCACACACACACACACACACACACACACAGTATTACAATGGTACTATGGTAACATTGTACTATTCTGATAAAAAAAATCCAAAAAAAAAAAAAAATAAAATAAATACCATATTGAGAATTTTTTTTTAAGGGTTTTTTTTTTAACTAATTGCCAACCGCTTACCCGCATTTTGCGGGCGAGCAGCAGCTTTTGGCAAAGCGACATAATCTTGCGTCGCTTCCTATTTTGGGGTGTAAACGCGCCTGTGCCCCCCTGCCCCCCCATCAGTCAAGGGAGAGAAGAGAGAAGCACCAAGTGAAGCAGTACATTTTACACACACACACACACACAGTAGATTAGCACATTAAACCCTTTGATCACCCCTATTAACCCTTTGATCGCCCCATCACCCTGCCACTGCCATTAGTACAGTGTCAGTATATAGAATTTTTCACTGATCACTGTATTTCTGCCACTAGCGACATCAGATAGTGTCAGGGTCGGTAAGCTCCTCTCCCAGCCAGGGTCAGCTAGCGTTAGAGTGCCTGCACACTATCACACTCATGCTATAGGTCACTGATCACCGCCATTACTAGTATAGTGTTTGTATGGATCAAGATATTGATCACGAACAGAACTATACTAGTGCCAGCTTAGTATAGTGTCCCCAAAAATGCAGTGTGAGCAAGATCGGCCCCGTTCACTGCTAGCACTAGCGTTTAGCCCTTCTGCTGTTTTTCACAGAAGATTTGTACCAATTGATTGAGGGCCAATTCATACGCACAACAATACATCACCGCCCACCCAAAAACAGCTCTTGCCAGACAATTCGCATGGAAACCTATCACGGTTTCTGAATTTAAAACTCTTGGGCCTAACGCTCAACATGAGCATTACAAAAAAGAATGAATTGCGGTCATATTGGTCCACAGATTTGATTCATCAAATGCCCATGTTCTCTGCTGTTACATATATGTCCAACATGGACCAACAATGTACTGGTACGACGCTGGACTTTGAGTGGTTATACCGGGATGATGCCTGCAGCTACAGGCATCATCCTGGTATCGTTTTCTTCAGCCGGTGGTCGGCTTTAATATATAAGCAATCCTAGTGGCCAATTAGCTGCTGAATTGTTTTTACGAGCAGTGGGAAGGACAATTTCCCCCCCCCCCCCCTCCTGCTGCCTTCCACAGTATTCTTGGACTCTCCTGTCCCACGGGGGAATCCGAGAATGCAGCGGCAGTTCCACTGGCTGACCATAGAGCTGATCAGAGACCAGAATGGCTCCAATCATCTCTATATTCTAAGAGATCAGAAGTTACGAGCATTTCACCTCTTCAGTTTTGCAGGATATAAACAGCGCCATTTGTAAATTGGGAAAGCATCGGATCACACCAATCTTGGTAAGGGCAGAGGAGATATCTAGAGTCTAATAGACCCCAGATTTCTCAAAAAAGAATATCTGTCAATGCCTATTGCAGTCAGAGGGGATATTTACTTTGCCTGTGATAGCAATAAAAGTGATTTCAATAAAAAAAAAGGGACAGTGTAAAAATGATTTAAAAAAATCAAAATAACCAAAAAAACCCCACTCTTGCCCCCCTGCGCAAAAGTTTTGACCCCGTGGCGGTATGTAAACAGCGGTTGCACCATGCATGTGAGGTATCGTCGCGAATGTCAGATTCAGGGCAGTAATTCTACTACTAGACCTCCTGTGTAAATATAAATTGGTGACCTGTAAAGGCTTTCCAAGTGTCGCCTATCGATAATAAAAATGTATGTATTTTGTTGCCATTGCACGGGCATGTACAATTTTAATGCATGTAATGTTTGGTATCTATTTACTCGGCGTAACATCATCTTTTTATATTTTATCAAACAATTGGGCAATATATTGTGTTTTTGTGCGTATCTTTCCCAAAAGATTTGTGTTTGAAAAATCGCTGTGCAAATACTGTGTGTCGTAAAAAATTTCAACACCCACCATTTTATTCTGTAGGGCCTCACTGCTTTAAAAAAATATATAATGTTTCGGGGTTCAAAGTAATTTTCTAGAAAAAAAAATGTTTTTTCATGTGAACAAAAAGTGTCAGAAAAGGCTTGGTCTTCAAGAGTGGGTGATGTGTGGCATAAGTTGCTAATGTTGCCCTTGAAATGCCAGGATAGTAGAAGCGCCCCTCCAAATAACACCTTTTTGGAAAGTAGATACTACAAGGTATTAGCTAAGAGGCATGGTGATTATTTTTCAGATCTCATTTGTTGCCAAATGTTTGGAAAACGAAGAAAGAAAACAAAAATGTATTTTTTTTTTTTTTTTTTTTTTTTACTTTTTCAAAACCCTGTGACAAAAAATATCTGTAAAATACTCACCTTGCCTCTTATCAAATTCCTTGAGGAGTCTACTTTCCAAAAAGGGGTCATTTGAGGGGGTGTTTGTACTATTCTGGAATTTTGTAGAAGTAGAAGAATGTGTTTTGGGTCGTTATTCCACATATACCCATGGCATGCATGAACAATATATCATTCAAGTGACAACTTTGTGTAAAAAAAATAAAAAATAATTTTCAGAATATTTGTGGCAAAAAATAAAATGTTCCATGGACTCAACATGCCTCTCTGCAAAATCCTTTGGGTGTCTACTTTCCAAAAATGGGCTATTTTGGGTGTGGGGGGGGAGGGTGTTGTATTGCCCTGGCATTTTAGCACCTTCAAGAAATGTGATAGGCAGTCAGAAAGTAAAAGCTATGTAATTTCTAATATATATACCATAGTTTGTAGAAGCTATAACTTTCACACAAACCCAATTAATATACATGTGTTGTTTTTTTTACCAAAGACATGTAGCAGAATACATTTTAGCCTAACTTTGAGTTTATTGGATATTTTTTAAAACCAAAAGTGAAAAATATCTTTCAAAATTTTCAGTCTCTTTTTTTTGTTTATAGCGCAAAAAGTAAAAACCGCAGAGGTGATCAAATACCACCAAAAGAAAGCTCTATTTGTGTGGGGAGAAAAAAAGGACATGCATTTTGTTTGGGTACAGCATTGCACGACCACGCAATTACCAGTTGAAATAATGCAGTGCCAAACAGCAAAAAAATGGCCAGGTCATGAAGGGGGGGGGGGGGGGGTAAATCTTCTGGAGGGCAAGTGGTTAAATAAGTTCATAAAAGCATACATGGCATATCTAATTTTTGTGCATCACATTCTTCTATCCTGCTAGTGAAAATGATTGGGAGGAGGTTTTTGAAACAGTGTATGGTTTGTACAGGTGATTAACAAATGAGAACGTCTACTTTTTTTTACATATTTATTTTCATTTAATCATTAGGCAAGACTGACTGGTAAATTTAGCAGTCAATGGCACTTTGTAGCTTTAGTATTACTAGTGTTTTTTGGTCTGAATTGTAATTTACTCTTGATGAATGTACAGTGTATGTGCTGTAAAAATAATGTTTTGTTTTTTTTTTCTCAGATAAAGCCAAGCAGTAACCAAGTGAATCTTGCATCATGCTGTATAATGCCTCCCGACTTAACTGCTTTTGCAAAGGAATTTGACATTCAGTTACTAACTCACAGTGATTCTAAAGGTAACTAAGAAATTGGGTTTTTTTTGGCTTGCACAGCCTCAGACATCTCAGTAGCACATATAACCTTAGATGGCTTTGCTCTGCGCTTTAAAATAGCAAAGGCTTGTACACATGGCTGTTGGGGTCCAAGGAATGCTTTAAGGAACTAGAGGTGAGAACTTCCTTTGTGCTGGGCACAGCTTGACACAAGTGGTGTTGTGCAAAGCTTGACACAAGTGGTGTTGGGCACAGCTTGACACAAGTGGTGTTGGGCACAGCTTGACACAAGTGGTGTTGGGCACAGCTTGACACAAGTGGTGTTGGGCACAGCTTGACACAAGTGGTGTTGGGCAGAGGTTGACACAAGTGGTGTTGGGCACAGCTTGACACAAGTGGTGTTGGGAACAGCTTGACACAAGTGGTGTTGGGCAGAGGTTGACACAAGTGGTGTTGGGCAGAGGTTGACACAAGTGGTGTTGGGCAGAGGTTGACACAAGTGGTGTTGGGCAGAGCTTGACACAAGTGGTGTTGGGCAGAGCTTGACACAAGTGGTGTTGGGCACAGCTTGACACAAGTGGTGTTGGGCACTGTGGAATGGCAAGTTCATGCCACTGTGTAAAATTGTATTCTAGGCCAGGTTTTGTGGTTAAAAAAGCACACTAATTGCACCGGTGTGTGTTGGCTTCTTAGTCGAGATGGGATTAGAGTTCCCGAAGGGGTCAGTGTGTGTTGGGAGCAGAGAGGTGGACGTCTGCACTGCGCTGTCAGGGACAGGAAAGACAGAGGCCCGAGCCTGAGAGAGAAGGATGTAGTAGCAGGTTGCTGCAGAATAAGAGACTAGCTGCAAGAGGTACAGTGGCTGGTTAGCAAGCACTGGGATGTGTGTTTGACGGTCAGCAGGACCAAAGGTACTAAGCCTGAGTGATCAAGCTGCAAAGAAAGCCAGAAGGCTGAATATTTTGTTTTGTTCATTGTGATAGTGGAAACCCCTGCATGGGCAACTGATGTCTTGTGTGGAACTATTCTTTGCCATTTTATTTGTGAGCAGAAATAAATCCCTGAAAAGACACTTCTGCAGTTGAGCTACCACACTGTTTTGCACTACCAATAAGCTGCAAAACCCCCAAGTAGTTACAAGAGACACTTAAATGGCAATCTTTGAGATCCTAAAAGTGGGCCTATAGCTTCCAATATTTGCAACACTTACAGTTGCCATGCAGGAGAGCACAATCTTGTGACTGATGACGTCATTTGGGCATGTTGGAAGTGCTTGCTGTCTGTCGCAGAGTCTCAAGCATCCTAGTAGTTTCAGCATAATAAAATGGTTGTAAGGGCTCAAGTTTTTTTTAATCTTCATGCATTCTAAGAAAGAAGGTAAAAAAACCTGCTGTCTGCAGCAGCCCCCCCATCTCCCTTATACTTATCTGAGCCCCATCGCGATCCAGCGACCTGTACAAGAGTCTCGGCTCTTCGGGACTCTCCCTCTCATTGGCTGAGACAGGTCAATCACCACCAATGAGCCAGTGAGGAGAGAGAGGGGGTGGGGCTGAGCCACGGCACTGTGTGTAAATGGATGCGCAGAGCAGGCGCTCGGGAGCAAGCCTGTCTGGGTGCCCATATGTCTTATCAGGATATAACATGGGGACACAGGAAGAAGGGGAGGATCAGAGAAGTCAGGATCAAACAGCCTTTTCACACAATGCAGAGGATTAACCCTTTAGGTCCCACAGTGAGTATACCAAGCATGCTTTACTGCATATACAGACTGATTTTACTGTTGTGGGTTTAGTAACACTAAGTTAAAATGTTGTCCAGTTCCTGTAACCTTTAGCTCAGGTCTTATATTTCTGAGAAGAGATTTGCACAGGAAGATGCTTCACTAATAATGGTCAATGAGACATCTGCATGCTTCTCACTATGTGAATAATTATTGCATGTTAGAAAGTAAAGCCAACTGTCGGGCATACCGAACCATTTATCTCTTTTTGTAACACATTTTTTTCCTTTTGTCTTTTTTTCACAATGCAGAAATCTTGTGTGAAGAAAGTTTTCAAGAAGTTCTGAGGGACAGTGTTGAGGGGAGCGATGCAGATGCTTGGTCACCTGTGTGGGTCCTCAGATACTCTGTCATTGTCAAAACCCGTGGAATTATCAAATCAAAAGGCTACATTGTGCAAGCAAAGAGGAAAGCTCCTCACTAACAATGTATTTGGGACAAACCACTGAAATGTTTTACCAAACACACACACAAATGTCTTTACACAAAGAAAGATGTTCCTAAGACCAAATGACTTGGACACCAATGTCAAAGCAATATCTGCAGCCACAATGATGTTACAAACTCCAGACTGCAAATAGATAAAAGAAAATATGAAAAAAAAGGATTAATTTTATCCTTGGGAATCTAACAAGGGTCCATTGTGTCCATATTCACATCACTAGGTGCCTCTGTTTAAATTATTGCTAATGTTGGAGGGAACAGCCTCTCTGTTCAGGGCATTACTTATTTATAAAAGAAATTCTCCAGTACTTAGTGCTGCTAAATTGTTCTATGATTTTGTATAATATTACATGTAACAAGCTTCCCTTGTCCTCCCTAGATGTGCTGAATACATCCACAAGGATGTACAGGAAAACTGATACTTCCACCTTTTATTAGCTGTTATACATCATGCATGTTAAATGTGATCTAGTTTTTCTTCCACACACACAACCACTGACAGTGAGGGACAGTAAATAAACGTGTAAAAAGGCATACACATAGGCAACCGATGCCGACCTAGTGGTTTCCTGACTTCAGAGCCACTGACCCAAAACAAAGGTGTAGCAGGGTGGGCCAGAGTGAAGTCAAACCTCAGTTCTACATATGTTTTGGGTCAGTAGTTCAGAAGATGCCAAAGCCAATAGATCAGCAGCCAGGCAACTAGCATTTTCAAATGGAAGGGTCTGCAATAGTAGCCACATTTCCCTAAGTTTAGGTTTTTTCCTAAGATATTTAGTGAAAATTGAGTCATTTCAAAGAGGGCTCTCTGACAAACTGGTACTCGCCTTGCCTGCCCTAACCCTTCCATTCCTTCCTCTATCTCCATGTGCAACAATACCTGATATTTCCGGGTATGGGGGAGGATGTGGTCACCCATGTGACTTTAATGTAGTCTAGTAGCCATTTACTAGACAGGAGCACTGTCACCTGACAGAGGGAGTAATGTCACCACCGCCTTAACGTAGGTCACTGGGGATTTTAGTGCCAGCTGTGACCGAGAGCTGTCCAGGTGAGTGGAAGGGGGCTCTGAACAGGCAAGATGGTAGTGCCTCTTTAAGCATGAAAATGGCACTCAAGAACTGTTATAAAACTGGATTCATTCCTATAGTCCATCAAAACAAGACCAGTAAAAGTTATAATACTAAGCTGTGAAGGCAGCATTGGAGTGCTAAAGGCCACTGGAGATAGATATGGAGGGGAATTAACAAAGAGTGTCAAGCCCCTTTGTTAATTAGGAATATCTGCTAACTGTTCTGTACTGTGACTGTAACTGACATGGCACAGACCACTTCAGCTAGAGCTGCATGCTCTAATCTCTCTGCCTGTCCTCCATCCCCTGCTCAGCTAGGAGGCTCTGCTTGTACTGTGTAGTCGCTGCACAAGCAGAGAGGGATGTGAGCTTTCTGCAAACAGCTAAAATCCTGTATGTCAGGCCCAACCTGGCGTGAATCTGCAGAGTTTTCTATACTGAAGACTACCGCGTTATTTTTATTAATTGAAGCAGACCCTGCATCATTTTCAATTTTACTCTGAAATAGAAAATGTCATGGCTGACACAGACCTGAAACAGGTCTATCTGGTTAGTGCATTTGATGCACACCACTCAAAGCAGTAAGCTTTGTCAATTCCCTTGTCAATCATTTTACTGTTTTACAGTGACTGAACATACATCTGCAGTTAATCTGCAGATGTTTTTCTAGCATGCTGGCTACTTTCACACTGAGTTTTTGAAGCGTTTTTGCATTTTGGGGCATGTTTGGTTAGTTAAAAGATAAGCTTGAAAAACGCCTCTTCCCATTGAAATCAATGGAAAGCGCCTGAAAAAACGCCTCTGGGAGCATTTTAAATATGCTCAGAAAGCACAGCAAAAGCACGTTAAAAATATCTATGCGTTTTGCTGTGTTTTTGCGGTGGATTAGTTTGAAAGTAGCCTACTAATTTTATTTGTATTGTCTAAGGAATATAGTAAGCTTTTTTTTTTTTTTCTTGTAATAATATGCCCCCCCCCATTCTCTTGTAATCTGGAATCAACTGCTTGCTGATTCAAAGTGAACAGTCTAACATTTGTTTTTTGCGTAGGAAGCCTTAGCATTCAGTGTAAACCTTGCACTTTGAAGGTTAGTCTGGTTTTATTGTCCTTATCTCTGGAGCTGTGCAATCTTATTATCATGACCTTAGTGCTTGGCTAGGAAAAGAAGTCTGATTATTTCAGGACTTGACTGACAATTTAGCTTTTGTTTACCCTGGCTTGTGTCAAGTGATTATCACTGCAGCCCTACTATGGTACTGGCTGACAATATATCTCCTAGCTAGGCTCCAACTGAATGTCATGCATTGCACGAATTAGGGACTAAACAAACTTTCTGACCTGCTACATAAATGTTGTCTTGGGCAGTCCTACCTTGTACTCATCAGTGTTGAGCGTATTATTAAGTTATTGAACATAATCCATTCTTCTGTGCAAATGGATCACAGAGAAAAATACTTTCCTTTTAATTCTAAAGAAAAGCTACTGAAAAAAAAACCTCTTTAAATCTTTTTTATTAAAAGCACTCTCGTCGGAAACTGAAGCAAAGTGAATAAGCTGCTATAACCTTTAGACAAAGCCGACTTAATACACGTTTGTGGCTGTTACACGCCAAGAGCGGAATTAGCATTTCAGATACCTAAGGTTTATTAAACATATATTGCAGGTTGGAGGAATTTGCTTGACCTTCTCCGGATGATCTAGCCACCTAAGAAAAGAGATAAATATGTATGTCTGTATTATAGTGTTACAGATCTTGGTGGCTGCTGGGTGCAGTAAGCCAATCGGCTTGCACAGGCTGCTGCTGATGTTACAATGTAACTGTTTTAAGTCTGATCTTGTTCATATGGATACGTTTATTCATTTGTTTTATATAGCTGATATTATGTATATGTGAACCAACTGAATCCTGCGCTGCCAGAATCCTGCAGCTCCAGAATAGTTAAAGGTGTTGTATTATTATATCATCAAATATATAGGTTTGTATATATGTAGATGATTTAAAAAATGTATTGTAAAACTTGAAAATAGTTGTACTATTAGCATTAGGTAATCTGTTGCTTGCTTGTTCATTATAAAGGTGTTTTTGTTGGTTATGAAAAATGGTGTTGTGCTTGAAGATAAAAGGTAGTATAGTGTAAAGGTGTTATATACTGTCCAGTCCAACACCCTGTACTGAACAAAAGGCTGTTGTGAATAGCCTTGTACCATGCTACTTGTGAGGTCACATGGTACAAGGCTATTTACAACAGCCTTGTACCATGTGACAAGCTGTGACCAATCACAGCTTTCACAGTGATTCTCAATGGCTGCAAGAATGCAATCAGAGAGAAGGAGAAATTATTGCTTTTACAGCCTTTATGGGTGTAAAGGCAATCCGTGTAAAAAAAAAAAATGTCACTATGGTGACACTGTACTGCTAGGGTGACAGTATGTTAAAAAAAAAAAACATTAATATTAAAAAAAAAAAAAATGTTTAAATGATAATTTTTGGTTATGAACTAATTTTGGTTATTTTGGGTTTTTTTTTACTAAAAAGATAACTGAATACATTTCGGCCAAGATTTATGAAAAAAGATTATTTGCAAAATTTTATAAGAAAAACACTTTTTTTCAAAATCTTTGGACTTTTTCATTTATATAGCAAAAAAAAATTAAAATCCCAGTGGTGAATAAATACCACCAAAATAAAGTTTTATCTGTCTCAAAAAAATGCTAAAAAAATTCATATGGGTACAGTGTTGCATGACCGCGCAATTGTCAGTCAAAGTGTGATAGCGCTGAAAGCTGAAAATTGGCCTGGACAGGAAGGGGGTGAAAGTGTCCGAACTTGAAGTGGTTAAAAAGCTACCCCTCAAGCACAGTGCTTACAGGCCATCAGCCACTCAAGCATAGAGACTAATGGCTGTACTTGGCTCTTGCACTACTATCACCCACTATGTACAGGGAACATTAGTCTGCATTGTGATGTGCAGTGTAGATAAGAGCCTGTAATTACTGGCTTTGGACAGGTCAAGAGCGTGAGCATGAGAGGTATTTTTAATATATATTAATGAAGAGGGCCTGAGAGGTAGTTACACTTTAAAGATTTCTAGTATCTTTTCTGGAATCTAAACAGACCTTACTTTCCAACATGCCAGGGAAAACAGAAATGAGACCTAATGTCTTGTGTCCTTTTTGTTAAATGTAAATGAATGGATGTTAATGATTGCTTTTTGTACTGGAGGTGTATAATATTTAAGCTTTTATTTGCTTGCATTGCATTTTGTGATCAGACTGCACTAATGGGCAGGGGGCATATTGCATTTACTGCTGGCGGAGCAATTACCTGTCAGTGTGCAATGAAACTGGCAAATAAATAGTTGGCTATATACTGTATATCTTTGTAGACTACAGTGCTATACAACTGTTATTGTAGACTACAGATTTAACCTTTTTTTTCCTTTCCTCAGTAGATGTCACTAAATGATTTGATTATTTTGGAAAAAAAATATTTTAATTTTTAAATGTTTTTGTTCTGCAAGCTTTATGTATGTTTTGTGCTAAATAAAAGGCTACTAAACCTGGGAAGCTTCCACTTTAATTTTTTTTTAACTTCTAAATTACTTTAATAAAGGAAACCTGTCTTTAAGTTATCAGTTGCCATTATTGACTATCTGAAAATGCTAGTTGTCTGGGAATCATGCCCGGGCTTCAAAAATGGTAACCTTGATTAAAATAAAAATGTGCTCTGATTTTTGATTGTCAGATCCAGATCTTTCTTTCATAAGACGTGTGATTTCAAGCAAATGTGTAGTAGTTTTGTACATATTAAGTATGCAGTCTTCTTTCGAGCCAGCACAGGGCACTCTAGTATTCTTTTCATATACTGTATTTAGCCATATGCTATAGTGCACCAAAATACGCAGATG